GCACACCCATTTCCTGCCGCCTGGTCTCCTTATTCCCTAGCAAGCCCTAATTATTCTCCATTTCAATAATTTTGTCACTTCAAGAATATTATACAAAGGGAATCATACAGTATGCAACTTTCGGGGACTGGCTTTTTTCACTCAGCATAATTTTCTGGAGATCCCTGCAGGTTGTGGAAGTAATCAGTAATTCATTCCTTTTTACGGCTGGCTGAGTAGGGTTCCACAGTATCCGGATGTACATCATTTGTTTAACCATTTACCCACTGAAGACATCTGGGCTATTTCCAGTTTGGGGCTAGCATGAATAAATCTGCTTTGAATATTCACATACAGGTTTCTGTGTCACCAGAAATCTTCATTTCTCTGGGATAAATACCCAGAGGGCAGCTGCCAGGTCATATCACATGGTAGTTGCATGTTTAATTTTTAAGAAACTGCCAAACCATTGAACCATTGCCCAGAGTGGCTACACCATTTTACATTCCCACCAGCCATGCGTGAGTGGATCCCTCCACATCCCTCACCAGCATTTGGTGTTCTCCTAACTTCCTAACTTTTGTCATTCTGGGAGGTGTGTCGTGATGTCTCACTGTGGTTTTAATTTGTATGTCCCTAACGGCTAGTGAGGCTGAACATCTTCACGTGCTCACGGCCATCTGAGTATCTTCTTTGGTGAAGTGTCTCTCCCTGACTTTTGCCCATGTTTTAATTGGATTGTCTGCTTTTCTACTATGAGGTTTTGAGAGTTCTTTATATAATCTAGATAAAAGGCCTTTGGCAGATTGATGGTTTGCAGATATCTTCTCCCCATCTGTAGCTCGTCTTTCCACCCTAACAGAGCCTTCTGCAGAGCAAAAGTCTTCCAATTTTATAAAGTCCAGTTTCCCAACTGTTCCCCTTTTTGGTGTCAAGTCTGAGAACTCTGCTTCAGAGTCCTGAAAATCTTCTCTTTTTTTTCTGAAAGTGTTGTAGTTTTACATTTAACCTTTAAGTCCATGATCCATTTTCAGTTAATTTTTGTATAAGGCGTGAGGTTTAGAGTGAAGTTTTTCTCTCTATGGGTGTCCAATGGCTGAGCGCCATCTGCTAAGAGCATGGTCCTTCCTCTATAGACTTGCTTTTGCACCTTTGTCAGCCACCAGCAGGGTGCATGTGTGTGGGTCTGTCTCTCGGTTCGTTAAGTCTGTAGTCTGTTTCACTGATTTCCGTGTCAGTCCCTCTGCTGATACCTCAGTGCCTTCACTGCTGTAGCTCTAACGTGCATCCTGAAATCAGGCAGACTGAGTCCTCTCATTTTACTCTTTTTTTTTTTTTCAACACTGTTTCAGCTATTCCAACCTCTTTGGCCTTTCTATATACATTTTAGAACACTCTTGTCTGTATCTACAAAATACCTTGCTGGGATTTTGATGGGAATTATATCATACCTGTGTATCAATTTGGGGGAAACTGACATGTTAACTAGGTTGAATCTTCCAATCCATGAACATGGTATGTCTCTCCATTTATTCAGATCTTTGATTCTTTCATCAGTGCTGCATAGTTTTCAGCATACAAATCCCATACATGTTTTGTTAGATTTATACCAAGTATCTACAGTCATGTTGGTAATTTATCTGTTTTGTACAGTCTGGTCTTGGTATCAGGATAATACTACCCTCACAAAATGAGTTTAAAAGGGTTCCCTTCCCTTCTGTTTTTCTGGAAGAGACTGTGTAGAATTAGTATTAACTCTTTAAACATTTGATAGAATTTTCCAGAAACCATCTGGGCCTGGACACTTTTTTTAATGGGAGTTATCAAATTAGATATTAAATTTCTATAGGGCTATTCCAATGATGTGTTTACTGCTGAACTGTGGTAGCCTGTGCTCTTCAACTGGTCCATTTGTTGGCTGTTTTGGTGTGCAGTCGCCTGTAGTGTTCTCTCATCATCCTTTGATTCTTCAGAGTCTCTCAGCATTCGAGGAATGTCAGTCACTTCCTTCTGGCCCCACGGTTGCTGATGAGAAATCTGCTGTCATTCTAACTGTTTTCCCTAAAGGTAAAGTGTTCTCACTGCTTTTAAGATTTTGTCTTTAATTTTCAGCAGTTTCACTATGATGTGTCTTGGTGTGGACTGCTTTGGGTTTATCCTGTTTCTGGTGCACTCAGCTTCTTGAATCTCTAAGTTTGTCTTTTACTAAATCAGATGAGTTTCAGCAATAATTCTTTTGATCAGTTTTTTAGCCCCTCTGTCTCTTCTCCCTCCAAGACTCTGATGACACAATGTCGGAAAATCTGCTCTAGACCCATGGTGGGGGGGGGGGTGTTGTGGAGAGCACACCTTGAACCAGGAGGAAGGGCTGACTCTCCAGTGGCCTCTGCTGTCACCAGAGCGAGGGGATCCTTTTTCCTGCTGGGCATGGCTGGCATTCCAGCTTCCCAAGTGGCCCCCGCTAACGTGAGGGGTAGTGTGTGTCTCACTGCTGCTGTCTGAGGGCAGAAGTCCAGGCTCCCTACATGGTCTCCACTGATATACTCCAGTTTCACTGGGGGTTCATCAGGGATAAAAGTCCCTGCTCCCTACTTGGCCTTCTCTGAGGTGGAGTGCTGGCCCCCACTTGGCCTTTTGCTAGCAGACCTGGAGCTGGAGGTTTTTCTGTCACATTTGGTTGGAACTAAGCAAGTGTTGTTAAACACTTTCTGTCTTGCTAAGTAAGCCATCTCTTTCCTGATCCTTTGGCTAGAGGGAGTGGCTTTTGTTGCAGTTCTGTCTGCACCTGCTGGCGTTTCTGAGTTGCCAGCTTCTTCAGCTCCAGGTCTGGGATACGTGAGGAAAAACAGAACCCAGGGAACTTACCAATGGGTCTCTCCCTGGGTCCTGAGGTCCCTGGCTGGTCTGCTGTCTCTTTACCTTTTACAGTCTTCTTATGGTTGATGCATATATAAAGTCCAGGATTTTTTAGTTGCACTTAATGGGAGAAATAGAGGAAAATATATCTTCTCCATCTTCCTGGAAGTGAAAGTCCCCAAACTTAAAATTTTCATCGTATAATATGGGCCTACCCTTCCCTCTACTTCCTTTCTTTTCTTTACTCATTTTGGCGGGGAGAGGTAATTAGGTTTACTTACTTATTTATTTATTCTTAGAGGAAGTAGTGGGGATTGAACCCAGGACCTTATGCTTGCTAAGCATGCACTCTACTACTTGAGCTATACTCTCCCTTCCACTTGCTTTGTTTTCAACGTTCAAGTCTATCTTCCCAATTTCTCAGCAGCCTCTACCCAAACATATGAAACCATCTGTGTTCCCTCTACCAGAGCTGCTCTGGCCTGTTTCTCAGAGTCTAGTCCCAGGAATTCCCTCTGCTCCTTTCGGTGCTAGAATCCTGGTTCTGAATCTGCATCTTCCACCTTCATGGCATGTCCCTGTGCTCGGAGGCAGCACATTCCCAGGAACCTGCTCAGAATGGGCTCCGTGGGTTCGTGTTTTAGACACCAGTCTTTCTGGTCATTACAACCAGAAAGGACTCTTTGAATAAGAGAGTCATGTCTGTTGGTGAATTCTGCAAAATGTTCCTGCTTTACCATCTTAATAACCTCCTCCAACTTTGCTCCATTCTTTTGTTTCATGAGTCGGATGTTGAACCTCCTGGATGGATCCTGTAATTTTTTTTTCTCTTTTTCATCTTTTGTTTACTCATTTTCTATCTCTTTGTCTTTTGGTTATTCTTTCTGGGTGATTTCTTTCTTTCAACCCCTCTAACGAATTTTTTAGGATACATGATTAAGATACTTTTAATTCCAAAAAGCTTTTCTTAATTTAAAAGTAGATTCCGTCATCTCACAGTTAATATTTCCTCTTATCTTTCTGATTATCTATTTTATCTTCCTGAAAATATTATATATTTTTATTTTCCCCCAATTTCTATGTTGTTGCTGTTCCATTCATGCTTCCTTCTTGTGTTTGTCTTGGGCTCTATTCTTTAGGTTAACTGTTTTCCTCAAATGTGTACTTCTCCCTGACTGCGCATGACAGAAGCCATGTACATGGGAAGAGTTGCTGACGGTCGGCTTTCCTTAGGCTGGCTGGCTGGTAACCCCAGGGTCACTAGAGGCACCACTTCTGCAGGCTGCCTAGCTTCCACATAAAAGTACCCCTCCCAGGATCCCCTTGCAGGTGAGCCCTGGTTGCAGGTACTCTGGAAGCTTGGTGGGGAAAGGGACTGGCGTTTCCTACCATTCCAGACACACGCTGTGACTTACCCTCCCTGTCTTCACACTGGGTCTCTCCCCACCCTCCTCCAGGCCTCCCTAGTGCCATGTCTGCACCAGGGAGACCGCTCACCTCCCCCTGTGCCAGGTGAGAGCAGACCCCTCCCCAAGCACACAGCCTGGTCCACGCCCCTCCCCAACCCTGGGTCCAGGTGGACAGCACCACATCCTCTGAAGGGACTCAAGGGATACAGGTTTGGCTCCATCGGCTCTGTGAACTTGTCACCCCATCTTTGAAAGTTCCCTCTACAAGTTTATGGGCTTCACTCACCACTGCTGCCGCCCCTTTCCCACTCTCTCTGACCTCGTGGTTTTATACCTTCATTCATTTCTTTTCACTATAGTGCTTGGGGGAAGTGCTAAAAACACACTGGTGCACATCATGTTTATCCACAAGTGGGCACAGGCTCTGACAGGATTCAGGAGACCATGCCCTAGGCTGTGACAATGACACATGGAACAGCTCTAAGCCTTGACCGAGGAACTGAAACACATGGCCAGCCTTCAAGAGAAAAGATGTGGCTTGTTATTGTAGAGAGAAAAAAAAAAAGACATGGGGCCAGAAGACAGAAATCTGGGGTTTAGGTACCCAGTCAGGAGACACAATACCACAGGGGCGACAATGGGTGGGGGAGTCAACTGAGGTGTGCGTGGGGTCGGGTCTCACGAGCTGCAGCGTTGGGTGCGTCAGCGGGGCCTTTGCTGGCGACGGGCAGGTGCGTCCTGCGGCCGTGGACTTACCTTCACCTCCTTCTCGATATAGTCGCTCAGCAGTCTGTCGGGCTCGACGCGCTCAGGCAGGGACAGCACCACAGTGTGCAGAGGGCGCCTCTCTGTCACCTTCTCATGGGCTTTCTTATCTCTACTCTTTTCACCTTTTAGGAATACTCGTTTAAACGGCGACACAATTCCAGGCTGCAGGCAGAAACGGCAATGGTTGGAGTTCGTTATTCACAAAGGCTTTGTGTCGTACCTACGGCTAACAAGCGGGAGTAGCCAAAACCACCACCGCAGCCCCCATGCGAACCAGGGCTGGCCGCTGCTGGTCTGGGGAAAAAGCACCAGGACGCACCGGCCCGGGGGGTCTGGGCCCAGCGCTGCCTCAGGCACGGAGGGGCTGGTCCTTCACCTGTTCATGGACACTTACAAGGTCAAGGGCCAATTCTCCAGGTAACTAACCTCAGCAGGAAGAAGAGGGCAGAAATGGGGAGATGTACCCCCAGAAGAAAAAACATAGCATTGCTCTGACCCTCTTGGCTCCACTGGGTCACCTCATTGCAGAGTCCTCTGAGAAGGCAGGGGAGGTGTGGCCAGGGCTGTGGCATCAGCAAGAAATGCAGTTCAACAGCCGCAAGTCCCCCACCTCCCTCTCCTGTAGGAAGGCAGGAGGGGCCCTTCTTTCCCTTCCCTCTGCCAAGACCTTGGTGGCTCAGGGCGCTCATCAGCACCTGGATGACCGCACACCCTCGTCAATGTCTAGAGGGGCCTGGAGGCTAGTCCAGCGATCCAAGTAAACCCGCAGAGCGAGAGCCAGGGACGGCCAGCAGGATAAAGCCAACCTCACCTGTGGGCCCTGGGAAAGGCCTGCTATCCCTTCCCTGCACCTCGGTCAGGGAGCCCTGTGGGTCCTCCACCGGCCCGGACGTGCAGTCAGGCACGGTCACCGGGCTCCCGCACCCGGAAGCCGAAGGCGACTGCTTCCTGTCACCTCCAAGAAGGCAAACCAGAGAACACAAGACGCCAACGTGCAGCCTCAGCAGGGAAACATCGCCGGGCACAGGAGTGAAACCCAAACCCACTGTCACACCAGACCGAGATGTCACTTTCTGTTGCTTGTGACTGCGCTGTGGCCAACAGCGGCCAGAACCCACAGCAGGTCTGGCTCTGACCAACACTCACAGAAACGAACATACATGTCACCAAACGTTTAGTATAAGCTCTCGTTTCTGTTTCTTCTCTGCATGGGGGAAGTTCAGCCGTAGGCCACACCGATGGAGGATGGAGAGGGACAGTGACTGCCCTATAAAGGCAGGTGGGGACTTGGGGTCTCCCAGGAGACCCTGCAGGACCAGCCCCACACCCACCAAGATGCTCAGCTCTGCACCTCCAGGTCAACCGACAAGCAAACAAAAGCTACCCACATACAAACCCTCTGCAAAGTGAGCCCCAACACCCCTCCTGCTCCTTGGCTCACACTCCTTTCCCCCGAATACTCAGCCCTTAGATATGTGCCTTTTACTCCCCTGACCCACTACAATCAGTACTGGAGTACCCGCTCCCTGCCCTGGAGTACCCGCCTTGCTCCCACCCCAACGCAGCCCCTCGGTGCTTCTTGCCGGGAGGGTGAAGCGATGCTGCTGTGAGACCCACAAGGCGGCTAATGATCAAAGCTGGATGATGTGCACGTGGGGCTTCACTTACTTCTCTCTGCTTTTGTTTATATTTGAAACTGTCCATAACGTTTTTCTGTTAAGGGTGAGTATAGCTCCTGCCTACTGCTACTTACACTTAAGCTGAGACGAGGTAAAAAGCATGAAAAGTTAAGCGAGACAAGATCATCGATACCAGCACCATAAGGACAGCATCATCTCCGCAGTCTCACAGACGAACTGCAGCCGGGACAGCGCTCCTCACCGGACCCCATGACGGCCGATCCCAGCTCTCAGAGCGAATGCCCCTGGGGTCCTGTCAGGCTCCCTTCTCCTGGATGCCACAGGAGCTGCCAGCCCCAGCACTAATTAAGCCAGGGGAAGAAACAGTGGGGGGCACTTCCAGTGAAATCATGAGGGGCGAGGTCCGGACCAGACAGTCGCCACATGGGGCTCATGTGGACACGATGCAAAATGGTCGTCCACAACTTGCCAGACAAGCACCGCTACTAAACTTTAAGTTGAAAGTGACGCTGGAAATTGAGTAGTGTAAGCATCACGTGTCACCAGCCTGACTGCGGGCAGGCCAGGCCAGGCCAGACTGGACTGTGACTGCCTCTCTGGTTGGCACCCCAGGCGATCAGATGGCACACAGATGACTCTTCGATCCTGTTCTGCTTAATTGCTTACCTGCACAGAGAGGCTCCCAGTTCCCTATGACGTGCAAGGCACTGCCTAGGGCTGTGGAAATAGCAAGGCATGTAACATAATGATACACAGATGATCTGTGCCTGAAATTGGCCAGAAATAAACCTCCCTCCCTACACCATTTCTACCTGATAATCTCACAAAGTTCACTCTCCCGAATCGTGCCCAGCTGGGGCTCGGCTCCAGGGTTGATTCTGAATCTGATGGCACAAGAAAACAGCTCAACTTGATCTGTTTGCTGTCCTACCTCGTTACTCCTCTACACCTGGGAGCAACAGGAAACCAGTTCTAAGACAAAGGGTTTTGCAAGATCAGCCTCTCACCAAGAAACCTGTGCCAAATCTCCAAATCCACAGACCACAGGCAACCCACGTTGGTATTTTAATGCTGGAGGACAGGTCATAAAACCACAGTCTGCACGCTGAATCAGTCTGTGTCGGCAGGGACCTGGAGCCCAAGTCCTGCAACCTACCTTCACGAGAGACCCTCTGCCGGCCAATAAGCCACATCTGCCTGACCGCTGCCGGCCAAGGACACCAGGACGGCCCACTGCAGATGCTTCTACGGCTCGAGGGCTGGCTTTCTCTGTGCTGAGCCCCACTCCGTCTTCCTCTACCTTTACCTCTTGGGACCCAGCGCCCACCCAGGACCCCAGGACCCCAGCAGCCACGGGGAAGCAAAATAAGCCAGGAACTTGGACGGCCCTGCGGGTGAAGGAGACCTCCACCCTCAAGCAGGTCACTGTCAAGCAGAGGGGAATGAGCCCAAAGCAGATGAACAGAGACTCAACTCGTGATGAAAACTGCCAGCCAGATGCCTCTGGTGCACTTCAGTACCGAAATGCCGTGGTTTTTAAGGAGCTACCCTGGCAACATGGCCACGGCCACGTGACAAACAGTGGTGCCCACCCGCCATGGCTGACAGGCTGGTGGGGGCGAAGGGAGCTGCCCCTGCATCCTGGGCCCCCACACAACCACCTGGCCAAGCGTGAACTTGGCATGACTGATCTGGGATCAGACACAGCTTCCCAAACTCAGACCTCAGCCTTGAATACACCAGGCACCACATCCTTTTTTTTTTTTTTAATGTCCCAAATAAGTTTAGCCAGTGGATGGGCTTTTCTAGAAAGTGGAATGTTGAAACTATTACATAAAGAAACACATCCTAGCAAACCTGCAGCTTTCCTTTGCCGCCTCATCCCGTTTCAGTGCAGAACGGGGGCGGCTGCACCACCCAAGGACAGCAGGCGTGTGGCACCGAGGAGATGCACACTAAGCTCCCTCTGCAGGGGCTGGAAAGTGCACACAGCTGGGGGGTGGGGGACAGCAGGCACCGTGGGAGCCTCTCAGCTTTTCAAGACACAATGAACAAGTGGGCATCTCAGTGCTCTGGACTCATGCTGCTTTTAAACATGAAAATGAAAAGGGAAGTTCTAGTTAAAAAAATATAGTGAGAAACAATTGAGGATATTCTGCAAAGACCTAAATCTAAGACCAGATACATCCTAGAGGAAAACACAGGCACAACACTCTTTGACATAAATCGCAGCAATAAAATATTTTTTTGGATCTGCCTCGTAAATTCATGGAAACAAAAACAAAAATAGACAAATGGAACCTAATTACACTTAAAAGCTTTCGCACAGTAAAGGAAACCATAAATAAAATGAAAAGACAACCTACGAAGTG